ATTTTCTTTATAAAATACGTACGTGTATATATATATATATATATGTATATATATATGTATATATATGTATATATATTAACATTTAATCGATGTAAAATTTGTCCCTTAAGATTGAGAAGAGTTACATGGAAGAAGACTCAATGTACATCAATGGACAGTAATTGCCTTTTCTACAATTAAATATATAGCATATTTGAATTTAAGACGTATCTCTACCTAGTTTTCGAAGTTCTATTCTATAATTTTTATATATATAATTGTTAAGAAATAGAATCACACATCGAATAAAGATGAAAACATAAACCAACTTATAAAGGATTTGGTTACTCCTCTTAATAAGATTGATCTTTTAAGATGGAACCACAAATCCTAACATGGTATCAGAGTTCGTTAAGCTCTAACGAGCAATTCGATCCGATTAAGATTCAAAAAATGAGTACACGAATTTCAAGATTGATCTGCTCAAACGAGTCACCATCTTGTGGTAGCATGTTAAGGGATACAATCACACATCGAATAAAGATGAAAACATAAATCAACTTATAAAGGATTGCGTTACTCCTTTTAATAAGGTCGACCTTTTAACATGGAACCCAAAATCCTAACAATAATTTTGAAAATGTTTAACAGGAATAATTTCTATTTGTGGGTGAACAAGATGTCATTCCAACATGTTTTACCTTTCCCATCCTTCCAAAATTACACACCATAGGTGCATTGTATCTCGACTCCTTGACAAGAAAGAATTAGCTAGTTTTGGAATTTTTTTTTAAATTATAATTAGAAGGTATACATTTAGACACGACCCTACCATTATTAAAATCGAAACATAACAATACATAACCTCGATTCCAATTTTTTTTTTTTTTCACTACTTTTCAAGAATGGGTGATAGATAAATTTATAATATTTGTGAATCCTACAAAATGTGTTGTTAAATTATAATTTGACTTTTAAAAAAAAGTAAAAAAAATGAAACACAAACAGAGCCATCATTTTGCAACGTTTGTGTTATGTTGCAAAATAGTTTTGTACTTTGCGCGTTTTTGACAAAGTTTATTGTGCGTTGTTATAATCTCGTCATTTATCAACCTTCATTGCCGTTGATAAAAGTTCATATATTTCATAGCTTTAACAACAGGCACATCACACAAGAAAAATCAAAGTATTCTTTGCTTTATTTTGAGAATTCGTACAGAAAAATTGATTAATTTTGACAAAATTATTGTTCTTGACCTCGTAAATGTATAGATCATGCATTATCTACAGTGGTAATTGGGGACCAACCTAACATATATACATAAGTTAACGTTAGGTTTTCTATTCCCTTTCCCTTTGTGAATGTCATTTCCATGCCAGGAAACAACATGCGAATGCTAGGAAATTGTCGATACTAAAATTAATTATCTTGCCTGTACATCATTTCCATCAGTGCTAGTCTATGCTCGAGCTTGATACAAAGGACGTAAAATATGTTCAAAGTATTGGAAATATTTGAGATGCCAGCCATTAAAAAGGAATCAGAATGAACATATTTTTCCTAACTGTAAAGGGATGTGAATAATTTCGAGCTTTGTTTTCCAGCAAAGAAAAATATTCATAAAGCTGGTCATGAAATTTTTCAATTCTATTTTAGGCTCGATACATCGCATTTTCACGTCGATTATATTTAGATTTTACTCTCATCTATATACGATCAATGACATCAATACAGGTGGGAAAAATAAAATTAGGAATAAAGTAATGCCTTTTGTGTTCCATATAGTCAAAAGTTGATGCCTCCATTG